CTGACTTTTAAGGGGTTTGCCAACAACCATACCTTTTATGTAATTTTTACTGAGAAAATAGGGCAGGGGTACGCATGTCATACGGAAAAGTAGCACAATTGAAGTAGCCTATGGAAGCGATTGAGAATACTAACGTTTCTAACCAAATTGTGATTGATTACACATCAGGCACGCTGGAAAAGACATGAGGTAGAAGATGGTAAAATTAGCAAAAGACAGAGGGCTACAAAGAAAGTGAAGCAAATTCCAAATGCCTAGACTACTAGTGGCCCTGCAGCTGCGAGAGTGGCTTAGCGTGAACTCCAAGGCAGAACGGGAAGAGTGAGATGCGTAAGCGATCGGTGAACGGTAATCAAAGAAATGCCAAAAGGGTGGTCGTCACGTAAACGAGGTTGAAATAGTTTAGGCTTTTTGCAGTTGGTAATCATACCCCAACATCTAACTGAACCCTAAATTTCCAACCAACCCGACTCTTTAAAACTATCCTAACCGCAAACACAACTCTGCAACTCTGCCCATCAATTCAGCATTTGTTCGTTTCAAGTGGAAAAATACTTCTCAAAAACATGGTTACCAAGATTAAATCAGTAGACGTGTAATTCTCAAACGATCAGAGACCTACAAGTTTGATCATTGTGTCACATACTTCAGTGATAATATAACATTTCCAGAGGTTTTTCTTTACTTTACCCAAATCTGCGAGGAAGGGAGAAGTCGCGTCCCTAATAGCATAATGCACTTTCGATTATTAACTTAATAATCCACCAATTCTGATTAATTTCTGCAAAGTCTCGATAAAGGAAGGCGTGTTTACATTCGAAAGCAAATGGGATTTTGGGCAAGTCGGCCGTTGATCAACTTTTAGGGTTGCAATTAATTGTAAGCAGAACAGCTTTAAACAATGAGCACCCGTTAAGGATGCAGGCTTCTAAATCCATCTATTCATACTTTCTATAGGGCTATTATAGAAACTACTGACCTGCAGTACACAAAATGTACTGTTACTCTGCAATGGCCAGCTATACAGGTAAATAGACGGATTGGCAATGGGCACACCACTTGAACCATACTTCACAAATGTCTTCGTGGGCAAGATTGAGAAAGCGAAGCTCAAATCACTATTGATGACCTAAATGTATATGGTCCATACGTGGTATTATATTTGCCTGACAAATATGACCACTGATATCGATTGTCTAGTCCAAAAATGTACTGCGGCCCACACATGGCTTACATTTATAGCGAAAACGGAGAATAAAAACGACCTCACTTTCTTAGACGTCCTCTTACATTGAAAGAGGATGGTTCAATACACCGTCAAATATTAA